TCTCATATATGAGTGAAATCAAATGCTCCCCGGCCCTATTCTCCCTGGGATCATTTGACTCCCAAGGAAATTGTTTAAATAAGTACCCGCTGGGGATAATACCCAACTGTACAAACTTATCCAGGGAAGATCCCAGTCTGTCTGTAATAAAACCAGCTTTGTCCATGATTTAATCATGGATGAGAGGATAAACCTGGCCTGTATTCCAAAGACCTGGCTGGATAAAGGGAGGGGGTCCCTCTCGTGGAATTTTGTGCAGATGGGTTTCGTATTTTGCATCAGTCCCAACCTGAGGCAGAAGAAGTGATGTGGCTTTTGTATTCCAAAAGTCTCTAGCTGTTATGAGGATCACTGTTCCAGAGGTGGCCAGATGTGAGGCCTTGCTCATGAAGTTGGGACAAAGGGAGAAGCTGGGAGTGCTTCTATTGTACTGTCCTCCCAGTTGTATGGCAGCATCCCTCATTGACCTACTTGACCTCATTGCAGCGGAGGTTATGCATTCACCCAGACTGTTAGTATTGTGTGATTTCACCTCCCCTCCTTGGGATTGGAGGTGGCTCAGTAGTTCATGGCTGCCATAATAAGCATGGACTTGTCCCAGGTCATTCCAGCCTATCTCATGTGGCTGGCCACACCTTATTCACCTTGGAAGAGATGGGTCATGATCTGGTTCTCGGGGACTTTTCTATCAGTCCATTGTAAGGGACAGATCAGTTATGTCAGTAGGATTAACCGGGACCACCAATCTTTGCAGGGAGGAGGGACCTGTTAATATGGTCGGCCACAGATGTTTGATGGATCTAGCGAATTTCCTGATGGCACTTGGGGAGTTTCCCAGTGATCTGGAGGTTGTTTCTATTCCATTTCAATGAAATTTTAGACAATTCCATTCAGGATTGTCTCTGAATGACCTCTCCTTTCACCAGTCCTGTGCACCTCCTTGGTTTACTGAGCAGCTCTGTGAAATGAAGCAGGTGAAGAAATGCCTGGAGCGATGCTGCAAAAAACCAAGAAGCAAATATGCCAGGTTTGAGCTTACTCTGTGGCAATAAAGGCAGCAATGCATAATTACTCCTCCACCCTTACTGTGTTTATTTTAGGAAAGGATGGGTTGGAAAACCCAGTCAATATACAGTAAGTTGCCATTGTCTGGCCAAGCATTTACAGTAGATACAATTGCCTATGTACACTTCAGTTTGGAAGCTAGGTGGACAGAATCTACTGGGATGACAGAGGTGATGCCTTGTAGTGTTATCTGAGAGGATTTTGAACCTATGGATCCTAAGGAAGTGAACAGAGTCCTCTGCAATCTGAGCTCTGCACCTGGCTAATTAAAGTGGCCAAGGAGAGGACTGGGAGCTGGATCTGGGCTGTAGTCCACACTTCTTGAGGAAAAGGGAGGTGCCAGAGGTCCTTAAAGAGGCATTGGATTACCTGCTTGTTAAGCAGTTAGGCCTGGATCCAACAAAGCGAAACTGAACAACTATCATCCTGGGGAAGTTTACTAAAAATGTGGGGCTGCAGTGGTAGAAGGGTCTGGAAGATACAGATTGTTTGGACCTTTGGCAGTCTGGGTTCAGACCTGGGCGTGGGACAGAAACTTCATTGGTTGGTCTCATGGATGACCTTTGGTCGAGCCTGAATGGAGGTGGCACAACTATCTCTGTCCTTCTAGATATTTCAGCAGCTTTTGATACTGTGAACCATGGTATTTTTCTGGACTGCCTGCTAGGGTTTGAAGTTGGATGAATGGTGTTATGGTGGCTTTGTTCCTTCCTAAGCAGGAAGGTCCAGAGAGTGGTTGGACCCAAAGACATTTCATTTTCTCCTGCCTTGTTCAATATCTACATAAAACCACTGAGAGGTCATCCGCTGGTTTGGAGTGGAGTATCATTAATATGATTGCTGATTATGAGAGAACTCTCATAAAATATTACAAACATTTGCTCTTTCTTTTGTGTCTATCTGGACATAAAAATAGTTTGGAAACTGATGCCAGACATTTTAGGAAGGAGATTTCTTATAAGACTGTGATTTCTAATTAAAAAAAAAAGATTGGTAGTATCATGAATAAGTTGACTTTTAATACCAGCAGGAATTTTTATTGCAGGGAATTGGAAATCTGAGTACTGTCCTCACATTATTATTACATTAAGAAATCATAGCCTGTAATTGATGGCATTAAAGTAACTTAGCAGGTACAGATGAATTAATTGGCAATATTTGAAGTCACTGCAAGATGCATTATAGAAAGATTAATTTAGCTGGTCATACTTTATTTTATTAGTGGAGGGTTAAGTTCTACTAAAATAACTATAGAGTATTGAATCTCTTTTAAATTTCCATTCTCTTTCATACTGTGAGGGAAACCTGAAACCCATTACCACTAATTGCCTTGGGGGAAGGATCCCTGAAAAGAAAAAGAGGAAACCAGGTGACCACCACCGCAAGCCTGCTCTGCTGGACTTGCAGCAACCCCCTCCCCCATAGGGCTATTACCACTAGCTGCTCTCTGAGGAAGATCATAGTGTGTTCGCTTTAAATAACATGTATGGTATTTTAGTGGAATTGCTATATTGTTTGTAAACTGCATTGGACAGATGGTTATGAAAAGCAGGATATGAATAGCTGTAATAAATAATAATAAATTGATTTTTTATTATTAATGCAATTTATTTAAAAATAAATTCAATTCAAAAAGAAGAATGAAAATCTTTCTTTCTGTAGCATCCATATCCAACAGAAGATGAGAAAAAACAGATAGCAGCACAAACAAATCTTACATTGCTCCAGGTTAACAACTGGTAAGTTGATCAGAATTACTTTATTCTTTATATAATTACTTTATAGTAATTCTTTATCTCACCTTTCTTCTGGGAAACTCAAAGTAATGTACATTGTAGGTTTCCTCATATTCTCCCTCCAGGAACTCTCTGAAGTAGGTTGAGCTAACAAAATAAATGTCCCAAAGTCACCCAGTGAGTCTTGTGATCAAATGGGAACTTGAACTTTAACTTGGGTCTCACTTCACCACCATAATTTCTATACTGCATGTTTCTATTCTGTAAATTCATAGTTTGTGAAAGAAAAGTAGTGTATTTTGTGACAGAGAAATTTGGATAGTGTTGGCAATACATAAAGCCAAGTAGGAAATATTAGGCTGGGAATTTGAAAAAGCATCTTGGGAGAAGGTATTGGCAAATGACTTCTGTATTGTTCCCAAGAAAACTGAATGGACACACCCATGAAGGCATGAGGAGTCAAGCTCAACAGGAATGAAACTTTACTTTATATGAAAGCGTATGTGTGTGAGGGTGTCTCTGTCTAATATGTACATGTACATGTACATGTATATGCATATATGTTTATGTGTATGTGTGTATATAAACACAGACACATAGACACACATAATGCAAATATTTTAAGAGAATGAAAGGCACAAAAGAATTGAAATATAATCAGTAGGGCTGTGCAGAACATTAGATTCACTTTAACAAAGACCTTTGTGTTGTAGAGGCAGTGAGACTCACTTTGACAAAGCAAACATTGTATTGAATCATTTTGGGCCAGTGCTGCAGAAAAAAGCTCCTCTTGGGTTTCTCTTCCAGCACTGGTCTTCTTGCTGGGTGTCTTCAGTGCATAGGGCAAAATTCAGCAAAGTTTCCAATTTGGAAGAACTTCAGTACATGCCACGGGTATCCAGGCTGGGCAGCTTCAGTCTATGTTGTGGCATTGCCTCCATGTAGGCCCAAACCACCCAACCTGGAGGTCCTTTACCACACATGCTCAGGGCTGGCTAGCTTCAATGTGTATGGTGACACTGACAAGAATGCCCTAGTTGGGTGATTGTGGTATTTCTCAGATTGTTTGCTGAAGCTGCCCAGTGTGGAAGACCTTTGGTGCATGGTGAGAGGATTCTTAGCCAACTGGTAGGATTCCCAACACACCTGCCCAAACTGACCAATCTGGATGTCCTTCAGCCAGTTTTGCAGGAAAAGGCTCCTCGAAGAGTGAGGAGGAATCTGCAAAGCAGAGCCACATAAAGAAACCTGGTATAATGCTCTTAGAGGTGAGGAGGCCTTGTTGCTCTTTCAAGTTGCTCTGACTGAGAACTTTGCCCAATCCTTTATCAAAGCAAAACACCCCTTTGAAGATTTGCACAGTCAAAATAATAAAATGGTAGGTTTGATTTAGCCCAAGATTTTGATTGATTGGTGGTGATAAATTGTGAAAGATTGAGTTATTAGAAATTGTATGAAAATGCAAGAATGTGACCATGTTTTAAAAAGTCTCAAAATTATTTGTAGTCTCTTTTGACAAGAAAAAGTTTAACTATAGACCTGAAGTTGTATAGTACATCAGTAAATTAAAAAACTCAGCTGAGAAGCAATTATAATATTTATGGCTTAGTTGTTCAGTTAGAAAAGTCTTAATTAGAACAAGTCTAATATCTATAGCTACTTTGGAAGATTAAATTTTGCCCTTATTTAGGTTTATCAATGCTAGAAGGCGAATTCTCCAGCCAATGTTGGATTCCAGCTGTTCTGAAACACCAAAAACGAAGAAGAAAACAGCTCAAAACCGACCAGTTCAAAGGTTCTGGCCAGACTCCATTGCATCAGGAGTAGCTCAGCATCAGTCAAATGAACTTACTATGTCAGATGGTAAGCAGATCCCTTACTTCATTATATAGCTTTAAAAATCTGCTTTATTCTTTTTCTTTGCTGATTGATGACCCAGTTTGCAAATAATTTATACCATTTCCCTGTGCAAAGCCTACTGAAAGTAATGAATTAGCATAGATTTAATTTAGTAAATACTTTTTCATGGACTGCATAAAAAAATAATAATAATAAGGAATGATTAGTATCTGCCAAACTGGAACTTTCTTCCCTTCTATGATCAGGCAAGCACACATCTATAGTTATGCACTGAAGTTAAATATTCCTGTTCTGGTATCTTAATGGGGCTTGTTCACAAGTAAAAATTCATATGTTGCAGCCTTAATGATATTAGATTAGGCACTGGTGTCCAGTTTTATGTGTAAATATTTGCTCCAAATGTTGTAAATCTTGGAATGCTAGATTAAATGGTAGTGCCTCAACATTTTCAAATTTCAGAATCTTTATTTAGTCCAAACTAGACTAAAACAAAATGAACATATTGTCATCAAAATGGCTTACTGAGGAAAAAGATGACCTAGATGGTGCATGCAATTTTAATTAATTTCCAATTGTTAAATTCATAGCTGTTCAATCTAAAACTTTCTTTTAGTTTATTTTAGAAAATGAGATTAAATGGATATTTCAGAATAGGAATGATGGTTTTTTAAAAATATCTAATTGTGTTTCCAATTGGACCTATACTTTTCTCCATTTTTAGGAGCTGTTGTAACAATTACAGCTCCCGTCAACATGAATGTAGACAGTCTCCAATCACTTTCATCTGATGGTACTACTTTGGCTGTTCAGCAAGTCATGATGGCAGGGCAAAGTGAGGATGAATCTGTAGACAGCACTGAAGATGATGGAACAGACCTCTCAACTACAAATATCAGTGGGCTGGTCTTGGATAACAGTGATTCTCTGCAATAGGAAGCAAGAGGACATGACCTAAATATATTAGGAACAACAACGGACTGACTGACTTTTTATAGTTTGCACAGCAAACATTTTACACAAGTTTTATTTCTAATATGTTTTATATGTAGATATAGAAGAGTGCACTTTTTTGTATTTCATAGTAAGCTTAAAGAGTGTCTTTGCAGGTGCAGCAACTTCTTTCAAATGTGTTTTTTTTTTAATTTTGAAAATCTAGTAAGTTAAAAAAAAAAGATCACCCCATTTGTTTCCCTAAAGTTATTATCTCATTCACACATACACACATAAAAAGCTAAGTCAACCTGATAAAAAAAAATGAGTATATGGGGTTGCAGACATGGGGTAAAATGGTGGTTGCCTGGAATGTGAGTTAGTTTTACATCAGCATGGATTTAAACTTACCCCAACCAGACAATCACTACGTTACTCAGTTCTTGCTATTCTATAGCATCATAACATCTGCAATTTTCAGATGTATAAAATTGCACTGCTATGGGAGAACTGAAAGTACTTTTTATTTCATTGAAAGTATCCAGTTTCAGTTCTGTCATTTTAACAATGGTGGTTTAATAATGTAAATGTAAAGCATGTCAAACTAGCGTATGGGATTTGTTTATGAAGTTAGCTATGTAGATTTGAAAGATGCTTCTGCACCTTAAAAAAAACAAACCTAAGCTGCCAGTCTAAAGTGGGCAACATAATACAAAAAAAAAAAAAAAGTGGAAATGTGTGATTCCATAAAGAATGCATGGCATTTACTATAAATTTAATTTCTTCAGGAGGTGTTAGGTGGACAAGCCTAGATCTCATTGTACCTTTTAAATGTGCTGTTTGATTTAGCTACCACAGCTTCTTCCTCATCCTTTCTCCCTTTTTTTATCCACCTGCCCAGTGGCTCCTTTGCAATGTTTTTTTGGAGCAGATAAGGTGAGGTTAGAATGGCAATAAAAGGATTAGAGGAGCCAGAAGAAGCCATGATTGTAGCTCTCTTCAGGTGATACATTCCAGTGTAGAATTCAACATGTAAGGAGCAGTGAGCCACCCCTACGCTGTCTTAGCAGTAGTGGTGACATCACTGAAGAACTGGTCTCCCCAAGTATGCTATTATTTTATGCAGTATGGAGTTTGACAATGCATGGTTCCAGTTTTCACAGAACTCTTCACATGTATGAGAACATGTCCAATTGCTAACAGTCATGCTGTATTCAAAGATGACTAGCTATTAGTTGACATAGCAACATAGCATGACTTAAAGAGTGGAAGGATTATTAGTGATTCTTCATATGTTGAATTCTAAGTGGGAGTCTCTTGCCTGAACAGCTATTCTCTTATCCCAGTTCAAGGATACATTTAAAGGTACAGGAGATGCCATAAGGTGTGCTCCTAGCTAGTGTGTCTGTTCATTGTTTGCTATAAAACACTTATTTTTACCTTTATCAGGATTATTGGATGAAAAATATTTTTATAAATTCTGTAAGAATTGGAAGGATGACTGTATTAAGCACGAGGAAAAAGTGTTTAGTACTACTATTTGGAAGGTTATGAAAACAGTCCAAATTGAATAAACATGCCTATGTGACATTCTATGGTTCTCTGCTATCCCATAATGGTACAACTCATAGTAATATATTAAGGTCCATTCCTTAGTGGGAAGCTGGATATTGGTCAGCACTGTTTTGTTATTTCATGTAAACTACCATTCAAATTATATTTCTGTCTATATTGAATGCTGTCTCACAAGAGTAGCCTTTCTCAACCTGGTGCTTTCCAGATGTTTTGGGTCTTTTAACTCCCAGAAGTCCAAGCCAGCAGCATCTAATGATGGCTGAAATTCTGGAAATTTCTAGCAAAGAGCACCAGCTTGGGGATGCCTGCTGAACAGGAGATATTCAGGTGAATAAAAACACACAGTCTCTATCACAATAAAAAAAAAATCCTCAATAATACATATACTTCACATCAGTTGACAGTGTGCAGGTACTTTCTTCTGGGTTATCTGTAATTTTTCCCCACTTTATTGCATCTCAAATGTTATGTATTCTGCAGCTGTAATACAAATAAGGTAAGATAAAGTCTCCTTTGAATTGAGCTTGATTATGGTCATTTCACAGACATGTCCACGCAGTTTTCTTGCAACAATATCCAAGTGGTTCCATTACCTTCTTCCAGCATGCTTTTTTCCCTTCCCTGCTAACCTATAGTGCTGGTATTTCCTATTGCTTTTCCATCCAAATATAACCAGTTCCATCTATTTAGAATTTTTCAGATCAGACAAGATAAACTAGGTGCAGATAAAAATAGATTTCTCACGACAAAGAAATCTCAACAATACTTTAACATACATTGAACATTATTCCTGCATTCACAAGTAGTGCTGATAATTTAAATCTTGGCTATGATTGCTATTAGCAATTTTTCCTCATTCTTCATATTTTCAAAATTGCTGTGTTCTTGCCATCATTAATGAATGTTGGTATTTTCCCATTCTTAACTTTAACTTTAAGGGACCTCGCATACAGGCTTTATAGTATAATGGATTATGCTGTTGAATGATTTATGAAACATTTTTATACACCAGCCTTCTTCATTCTGTGCCCTCCAGAGCTGGTATTTTTCAGTGTTCACCTACGTTGTCTGGAGATTTGGGAAATTGCAATTTATGAAAAATAACAGGTAGGGAAAGGATAAGCTATCTCAACAAATTCAAGATGTATTTCCAACAGACTTTAATAAGTTAGTTTTGATGTAGGTCCTGATTCAACAAAGCATTTAAAGTTGGTTTTGGTTGATTCAATAGTTAGAGGATTATCATCTCTCATTAGTTCTAATTCTTCTGCTTCTAGTCTAAAATGGATTTAAATAAAAGGACTGTTACTCAAAGAAGTCTGTGTATGGCAGAGGCTCCCTGAGGTCTCTTAAGAGCTTCAGTCAGTCTCTGTATATAACCTGAATGAATGAGAAGTTTCTGTATCATCCTGGCTTCCTCCTAGAGAAATGCAGCCCTGATGCAGGGACTTTGATATGCTTTGGCAGCCACATGGAACCTCTATGATAGAAGATTTTATGTATCAGTACTACTGCTACTGTTAATGTTCATATGCTCAAAGTGAAAGAACATGCTCATTTTTCTCCCATAATACTGGACTGGAACAATTGGATTATTAGATAAGTACTGCAATGACGGAAATAAGAGTGCCACGAATGTCATACAGGACAAGGGGGGAAAAACAATTTAAATTTTCCAACCTCGGAACACAGATAAACACAAAAGTGGGTAGCCAGTTGAAAGATCACAAACAGATCAAGATATTCTGGCACATTTCACTGTCTTGAGGCCTTAGAAACTAGACTGATATTGCGCTGATTCTTATGGTTCTGTGAAAGTTAAACAAACCCATTTTTTCTCTTTTGCATTTTATGGAAATTTGAGTTAAAATTTGAAAATATTTGAAAATAGAGCATTTGTCTAAAAAACATTAATGTAATGTAGACTTACAGAAGTCTTAATAAACCTGAATATTTTTTGTTAAAAAATACTCTTGAAGTAATTGAGAACTACTGAAATTTAGTAAAAATTTCTATGTTTAAGCTTACTATAATTCCATTAAAACAGTGGTACATTTTTGTTACCATTAAGATAAACCTTGAAGCAATTATTTTAAAAGAGAGTAAAAAGGCCTTTTCTGTTTAAAAAATTGATTAACTGAAAAATATTTTTTTTCAATAATGTATTTGTAAATTTCTGTCCTTTCTACCAGACACAGAAAATTTATATGAGTGCTAGAAGAAAATTTTCTTCCATTTCCCCAGTGGACACCATAAGGTTATCTAATCAAAACAAAATGAAGCTTTTTGGAAAAAAGGTGGAATGTCTTGGGAGAAAGCTACAAGGAACAAGTACCTCAGCAACAAGTCTGAATTCATAAATCTAGGTAGCAGCATTCTTACGATTATAAATTAAGCCTTATAAAGGCTGCAATTGCAGCTCACCACCTGAATCTAATTGTCACCAAAAGATACTCCCCATTTTTAAATTTTATTTTGCATTTGGGGCTGCAAGGGCTAAAATCACTGGATCATGGTGAATAACAACTATAGAAAGCAGCCGTTGTGTGGCCTGAAGAAATATAAATCAACCAGATATATGTGAATTCCAGATCAAGACGCACTTTCTCTATTGCTATGCAAGAAGATCCTTGCCAAAATGAAACCAATCAGTTCTTCATTTTGTATCATCTGAAATACATGTTTAATGCTAAAACTACATAGGCTAGTTCTTAAAGAGCCATGTGTAACAATTTTCATGTAGTAGCCTGCCATAGATACTAATCCTGCAAAAGGTGTAGAAATACAGACTTTGGAGTGCATGTGTTTGCTGGTTCTATAGATTCTGTAAAGACAAATGGAAAAAACATAAAGGAACAGTGAACTTGTGTCCCAAGTATTTTGAACACAGTATGACTGGGCATAGTTTTCCTTCTTGTACATCATAACTTTCCTCGTGGTATCATTATTTGTACCTCATTTACATACAGTATTAGCATTCTGATTCAGAAAAACAGCTACAAACAGGATCTGGGTCCTAATTGTGCATCAATCATGTTATCAGTGTGTAAAATGGGGAAAGCATTAGTAGACATTTTGAGATGCCCGGTGGGATACTACTACAAACCCTGTTAAGTGGGCCAGAAAGACCTCTTTGAAAATGACAGAGATAATCGCCAGAATAAGATGTGTGATGTCCAGATGATTTAATGAGGGATTCACTGTCCAAGAAATTTCAGAAATGGAGCAATGATAGGGATGGGTTTCAAGATAAGTATTGTAAACTGCCCAGAGTCACTTCCTCGTGAGATAGGCGGTGTCTAAATTCAAAATATAAATAAATATAAATAAGCTGCACCAGTTGATCATAATGTCTTCAATAACATACATCTCATGGTGAAGACATGCTAGGCAACCGTTTCTAAATAATATATACTGAATATTTTATTATTTTTTCTTCAAATACTTTAGGGAAATTGCTGATATTGCACTGATTAAATTCTACTTTGATAGACTTTTAAAACATTTCTGATTAAGAAAAGCCCTCACTGCTAACTCCATCCACAGCACACATCCAGCTTCTTTTGACTGAGGCCCTTATTTTTGTTGACAACACCTTCTAGTGCAAGCATGTAGCATTAGAAATGTTTGTGCCAGTAGCATAATCTAATGCTGGGGTACATTTTTGAGTATTGGTATGACAGGTGTAAAGAATAGCAAATTGGGTGTTCAGGTCCATCAGTTGCAGGGTGAACAAGCTGATTATAATTTCTGCAAGATGACAATGGAGCTTTTGTTTTAAAATATACAATATTGTCTTTTTTTCAGTTCAGGTGCCTACTATTTATTAGTAAAAGGTATTTTCAGCAGGGGCAGGAATATTTGATTGACAGTCTTTGAAATCTAAACTTTTGATAGTTGAGGGTTTTTTTTTTGGTTTTTCTTTTAATGATATATTTGGAAAATGTGCTGGAGAATGGCAGAATAATTACGATTCATCAATATTTTTACATGCACAATCTCTGAACCCAACACACATGTTCTCAACCTTGTGTTTAAAAGTAAACTACCGAATTACCTTAATAAGCATTAATTGTATTGGTCACATTTACTTTTTTTACCGTTGTGGTTCTGTATAATGCAACTATCAATATTGTTTTGGTTTTCAAAATTAATTACAGTGAAACAATGGTTGCTTTTAAATTTTGGAGTATCTTTTAGTTTGGAACTATTCTGCATGTTTCTTTATAGACAATATTCAAGGCCAAAGAAATAAATGATGTTAATTTTTACTGGCTAAGGAAAGTTATGTTTTAACTGAACAGAAGTAGATTGAAAGGCAACTTTCAAAGTATTTATTTTCTTAAATAAAATGATAGGGGTATCAAATTTTGAAACTCCTCCTTAGAAAATGCTTTTTAAAGACCGTTAGAAGTGTTGAATCAGCCCAGGTCCCATCAACTCCAATATTCTGTAGAGCAATGTCCAACCAAAATCCCTCTCTTGATCCTGAAGGTAATATGTAGCTATGAATACCAGTAGCATCAGTTAGGACCACTTTTTAGGAAATGGAGGCCTTCACTACACAAGACAATGCCTTGGAATTTCAGAAAATCTCACCCTTTTTGTTGAATGTTACTTACCAGTTATCTTATAAATCATTTTATATTAATACAGAGAAGAGGAGGGGTAAGATGATATCACTACTGAGTCAATTTTTATGTAGAAAATGTGTTCAAATTATAGACAGGTTTTCAGGCTATACTGTCAGTCTTATTTCAGAGAATAGAAATGGGTTTGTCCAGACAGCTGAACTGATTTCATCTTTAACGTATTTTAAAACCTTTTCCTTGTATATAAAAAGCACCATATGCCATTGCTCTCAAAGAGATTATGCAAAATAGTTGAGATATATCTATATCTATCTATATCTATCTTTATATCTATATCCCCTCTCAGCCCTATGGGTGGTATGTGTCTCAGGTCCTTTACCAGAGGCCTGAGAGGTTGAGGGTTCTGCACAGTGTCTTAGCTGATTCTAGCACTGCACTCTTCTGGACAGAGAGCTCTGATGTTGTTCCTGGGATCTGTTGGAGCCACTCTCCCAGCTTAGGAGCCTTGAGCGCTCCTACCACCACTGGGACCACTTTGGCCTTTACTTTCCGCATCCTCTCTAGTTCCTCAATATCAAGCCAGTGTGAGCACAACTGGAAAATATCAAGCCAGTGTGAGCACAACTGGAAAATATCAAGCCAGTGTGAGCACAACTGGAAATGTCTGGTTGATTGGCCAGTACTTGCCTGTCCATCTGGATCTGGAAGTCCCACAGGATCTTATCCCTGTTATTCTCCACGACCTTCTGTGGAATTTCCCATCAGGACTTGGGAGGGTCTAGCCCATACACTGTGCAGATGTTCCTGTATACAATGCTAGCTACTTGGTTGTGCCATTCAGTGTATGCTGTAATGCATACAATATGGTATGCTGTAATGCATACATATGGTGTTCTTTTTACAAACCAAAATGCTATCAGTTGGCTTTTT